GTGGGCCCGCTTTGCCGGCGGGATGGGGGGGCATCCCCTGGCCCGCGGGCCCCGAGGCAGATTCAGCACCGCAGCCCTGCTCCTCGCCGCACACCCGGCTCTCGCTCCCTGGTTTTTAAGGAGAAGGATCCGACCCAGCAGCCCGGTTTCCCCCAGCGAAGCCCAGCCGATCGCCTCTGGGCGGCACGCCGGCCCCGCAGCCCCTCCGACCTGCCTGGGCCGGCTCGGCAAACCGGCACCGGGGAGGGAAGGGACCTGCTGGAGGACGCCCACGGTCCTACACCCCCGAGGGTCCCTGTTCGTCCCTGGGGGAGTCCCCAGGGGTCCCTGCTCACCCCAGGGTGCCAGCTCACCCCAGGGACCCCGCTTGTCCTGGGGTCCCTCCTTGCAACAGGGTGCCAGCTCAGCCACGTCCCCACTTGCCCCAGGGTCCCCACTCACCCCAGGGTGCTGCATCGCCCCAGGGTCCCCACTTGCCCCAGGATTCCTGCTTGCACCCACAGTCCCTGCCCACCCCAGGGTGCTGGCTCACCCCAGGGTCCTTGCTTTCCCCCAGGGTCCCCAAGGTGCTGGCTCACCCCAGGTTCCCGTTTGCCCAGGGTCCCCATTAACTCCTGGGGTCCCTGCTCACCCTCAGGGTCCCTCGTCGCCCCAGGGTGCTGGTTCACCCCCCGAGTCCCCACTCACCCCAGGGTGCTGCATCGCCCCTGGGTCCCCCCTTGCCCCAGGATTCCTGCTTGCACCCACGGTCCCCACTCACCCTTGAGTGCTGGCTCACCCCCCCTTGCCATGGGTCCCTGCCAACTCCTGGGTCCCCACTCACCCCAGGGGGCTGCAGCACCCCTGGCTCCCGCCTTGCCCCAGGATTCCTGCTTGCACCCAGGGTCCCTGCTCACCCCAGGGTGCTGCTTTGCCCCAGGGTCCCCACTCACCCCCGAGTCCCCACTCGCTGTGGGGTCTCCACTCACCCCTGGGTGCTGCTTCGCCCCAGGATTCCTGCTTGCACCCACAGTCCCTGCCCACCCCAGGGTGCTGCTTTTCCCCCAGGGTCCCCACTCACCCCTGGGTGCTGCTTCGCCCCAGGGTCCCCCCTTGCCCCAGGATTCCTGCTTGCACGTAGGGTCCCTGCCCACCCCAGGGTCCTTGCTTTCCCCCAGGGTCCCCGCTCACCCCGGGGTGCTGCATCGCCCCAGGGTCCCCACTTGCCCCAGGATTCCTGCTTGCACCCACAGTCCCTGCTCACCCCAGGGTGCTGCTTTTCCCCCAGGGTCCCCACTCACCCCCGAGTCCCCACTCGCTGCAGGGTCCCCGCTCACCCCGGGGTGCCGCAGCACCCCTGGCTCCCCCCTTGCCCCAGGATTCCTGCTTGCACCCAGGGTCCCTGCCCACCCCAGGG